GTCTGGGTGGGGTGGGGGGAGCCGCTGCGCTGCCCCAGCCCGGGGTGTCCCTCACCTTCTTGAAGTGCACCGACTCCCCGTGCACCTGCGCCCGGTGGGTCACCCTCAACGCATACAAGATGCAGGAGAAGTTGGGTCCTTTTATATCAGTCCTGCACAGACAAGGGAGAGAGGTTTCTGCCGTGGGACGGAGCACGGCTGGGCTGCCAGGGGCACAGGCAGCTGAGAGGAGGCGAGTGAGAAGGGAAGGTGAAGCAGGGCACTGAGGCTGGGGTGATGGGCTCTCTGGTGACTCCTCTCTGCACCGGGAGAGGGAGAAGAACTGGAGCTTTTCACTGGCCCATGCAAATCTTACATCCCTGCAGGATGCTCCAGCAACTCCATGCTGGCATGGAGCCCTGCCAGCTGTGCCACAGCATCGCTGTCCTGTGCAGTCCCTGCCACTGCCAGCACGTAGGCAGCAGCAGGGCAGGGACACGTCCATGTCTCCAGATCCTTCAGGAGCTGCGCAGGAGCAGATGAAGGCTCCTCCAAGGCACGGCAATGCCTCCCTGGGCACCTCCTCCCACACCCTGAGACATGTCTCACAGCCTGTGGTGGGCTGAACCCTGGTTTTGTCAATGATTAACAGTGGTGACACTGCACAGGGGCCAGCATGACCAGTGTCATTGGGGTGAGGCAGGGAGCATGGTGGACAGCTGGTGTCTGAGGCTGTGCCCAGGTGGCTGCCGGGGGGTCCCTGCAGCCAGGGAACATCCCAGCAGGGCTGTGGCGAGGTGGAGGGGCTTGGGGCATGCAGGGCTGGTGTCCCGAGAGGCAGCTCTGCCTCCACTGCATCCGCAGCCCCGTGGGACACGGGCTGCCCCAGCCATGCTGCTCTCTTTAATCTGTGCCTGGAGAGAGTGGAGCCCCTGTGTTTAAGTAGCCCAGGGGGTCCACACTGCTCAGGAAGCACACGCTCCTCCATCCCACCCCGGCAGGTGATGAACGAGAGCCCCCAGAGCCCCCGCCTGCTCCCCAGTGCTACCCTCACACCCAGCTCCTGGCCAGAGCCCTGTGAAGCCCCCCGTGAAGCCCCGGCGATGCTGGCTGGGGACCGGCGGTGCTGGCTGGGGACCGGCGGTGCTGGCT